TGGTGACAGGAAGAAAAGCATAAGAAGAAAAGAGTGCATGGAGAGCGCTACAATTTGATGGATAGAAAAATACCGTTCAAGAGGAAGCTGCATCCCAATTTGGACTTTGTGTTCACTGTTAAATAAAGAAAAGTGCATTTTTCCAGTGTATGTGGAGTTATATGTGAGGTTCGCAAATTATGACAATAAACATATTTTTATAACAGTTGTTTTTGAGACTTTTTTTTTAAAATGTGGGTCAAATATGGCTCATGAAAGATGTGGCTTAGTTGAGGTTGAATTAAGGCTGATATCAGGAACCTGTTCTGGCCCAGCGTCGGGCCGGAGTAGGGCCGGATATGGTTATACAATGCGGCTCAGATCCGGGCCGAATGCGACCCGGATCATGGATGCCAGACCCGGGCCACTGCAGGACCGTCATTCATTGCGGTATGTGGGCCGAGTGTCGTGCCGTGTCTGCGCCAGAGCTGGGCCAGACCAATTTTGCTGACTGGGCATCTTCGAAGACCACATTTACAGTACCGGTAGTGACAAGTTCATTCAAACTGTAAAATGACAGCAAGAAACTCACACTGCATCATCTTGTATTGAGCCACAACATATTGAAACAAATCGTAATCCCACTGAATCGAACTGAATCGAAGCATTCCAACTTCAAATGAACAGTCCTTTGAAACGTATCACACTCCATGTATCGAAATACATATCGAATTGTCTTTAATTGGAGAGTTGCACACCCGTAATACATACACATTCTCACCCTGATCCTGATTTTCTGATTAGGGGAATGAGTTTTTCACAGATGGCCTCATAGAATTGGATTTTCTTCTCAGATTATTCCTTTTTTAAGAAGAAACTGCATTTTGTATTTACTTATGTTATCTATGTGAGGTATTAATATGGGTTTCATAACCTGAAATGTTTTAACTTGATTAATAAGCCCCCCCCATAAAAAAATCGGGCTTTAGAAAACATGTTGTATGCGCAATCACACACCCATAACCTCACAATTTGCACCTGTTTGCATTGGGGGGGAGCAAGATTGGTATACAGTCTGAGTGAATTTTATTTAATAAAACCTTGACTGTGGATGGTATGATAAGCAATTACTTATCTGCCATGCTGATGGTGAAAGGTAAAAGAAAGGTGTGAAATCTTGATTGAAGTGTTTCACTGTTTTGGAAGATTTTTTTCATGTTTTGTCTGTAGTTCAGCAGTGCTAAAACCCTTTTAACAAGATCATCAATCTCAATGTCTGGTGGCATCTGAGTGCCTCAATGTAATGTGACCACCTGAAAGCAGTAAGGCGGAATAATTATCTGCACTAAAGAATCACATTTATCAAAACTTTCACCTGCACCTGGGGTTGGCCAGAGGGGTGCCTGACAAGCGGCCGATGGTGGCTTAGGCCCATTTTTAAACTGCCTTTCATTAAAAAAATTCTGATAAAACTGGTGCACATGCAGTTAAAAAATTTCTTGGATGTCTTCCAGTCAGGTTTAAGGATGATGTGCAGCACAGAATCAGCCCTGTTACAAATTTTTAATGACATCCTTCTGGCAAATAACACCGGAGACTATGTGTGTCTTGTTTTATTAGATTTAACTGCAGCATTTGATACAGTGAATCACAGTATTGTTGGCTCCTTTGCAACACCTGTTGGGCATTGGTGGTAGTGCACTGGAGTGGTTTAGGTCCTATTTAACTGACAAAACCTTTTGTGTTAGCCTTGGTTGCTCTGAGTTACAAACTGCCCCACTGTCGTATGGTGTTCCACAGGGCTCAATTCTGGGGCCTCAGCTGTTCTCACTACATCTGCTCCCATTGGATACCATCTTAAGGAAACATTGTATTTCCATCCACTGCTATGGGAATGACTGTCAGATCTATGTCCCATTGAGCAAAAAAGACGCTTTCTCATTAAGGCCACTTTTATCCTGCCTGGAAGACATCAAAACCTGGATGGCACAAAATTTCTTTAATTTCAAT